TCACTTTCAGATTTGTTGTATCGTTTTCTTAATTTATTTTATACAGACTGCTGCCAGAACTGAGTAGATGCCCAGTCGGACTCGGTCTGTTCGTTTGAAGCGTAATATTTCGCCCCATTTCTCGTGTAGCAGTCTGTGCAAGTTTGATAAGCTTTACTCCATTTAATTGTCCAGTTTCATCCTGTGACTGGTTCTTTCTGTGTCAAACAGAGCGCGAAATATTCCCACACTTCGCTGTTTCGTGCCAACTCACAGCATTGTTCGTACTTTTATTATTTTGTTCCAATATTATCAAATTGCTATCGACGCATGCAAACTTGCATTTTTTTTAGTTCAACTATTCCATCATCTCACACTGCTTCTGATGAGCATCTTCACCATAACACATCTATTTTGGATTAACCAAATCAGTAAATGATTTTTGCACAGGAAACACTACACCTCACTAAAGCATCCTTGTGCCAGAAGCATGTAAAGGAAATGACCCCACAACTTAGCATGATGTAAGCACAGTCGCCGGCAGTACGCACTATAATGTATCAATCTGAGAACAGGTCAGGTCAGAATGGGTCGTTACAGGGCATAGGAGAAACTCCCGCGTATTTTTCTATGCTTAGCCCTCCCCCTCCCACTCCGCATATTTCTACGTTTAAGTTGAAAAGTTTCATATCTCCCCTTTCACCTCCTTACTATTACCCTTCACAAACAGTGATACTCACGGCAAGTCTCCCAAGAGACATTGTATAATTCGGACGGTAGTAAGTGGGAAGCATGCAGAACACAGCGACAGTGCGTTAGTTGTGCCATGGTAACCTATGAAAAGAAGAAGGCGATGTGGGGCGGACCTTGGCTACTTTATTGGTACTGTAGGAGCCGTTCACCACTACTGACTTGGGCAGAAAGACAAGAGTCAATAGTCCAAAGTTCAAAGATTAGCCAGAAAATTCGAATTAGCAAGGCGCTGAACCTTCTAGCATCAGTGAGCAAGGGATCAATTGTACACAAATATCGGCCAGACGTCTAAACTTCTGCGCTTCTTTGCGGTAAAAAGTTCTGCGCTTGCCGTGCTCTTTGGATGCAACGAAAGAGTAAGTGGTACTTGAGCTGGGAAGTCGGCCAGTCGTACGATCTTCAAAGAATCATTGTAGGTAGAAACTGCAGATCATGCGAAGCGAAAAACAGTTAACTCAAATTAGCATTCTTTTATTATTGCTTTCTTTTGTTTGTATTATTCGGTTTTAATCATCATAATCATTTAATCATCATAAATGGAATAGAAGTGGAGTGTTAAATTTTCAGCAGGAGCGAGTGGATTAAAGGCCAACAACGGGATTAGGGGTCAAAACGGCTTTGCCATGAACGAAGGCGTAGCTGAGAAAAGAAGAGCCAAGCAAAAATATGTGATGCATGCTGGTACCCTAAGAGGTTCGCTGTGATGTTCCATTCGATCTTGATCTGGAAATTATCAAATGTATGCAGAAGCATCGAGAAGTGGTACGAGAACGAGCGAGATTATTTCAAAATATACTTCGGGATGTTGCAGTGGTAAATC